TCTGCAGCAGCACACAGTTCTCTTTCTGTTAACCTAATTCCTCTTTCATATCGTCCTTCTAGTATCGAAATTCAGCCTTCATGTTCCCTAAGGTCTCTCTTTTCTAAGCTAAATGTCACCATTTTCTTAAACAGTACATCAGAGCACAAGTTTCAGATCTAGCCCATCCATGTTAAATTCTGCCTCTAATGTGCATATTTCAAGGCAGAGGGAGCCAACACGGCCCTGTTGCTTTACACCATTCTTGAATTAAGGGAGTCAAAAGTCACCTCTTTTTAGGTAGCAGAGCACCACCGGTTTATGCTAATCTGCAATCAACTAGGAGCTCACTTGTTAATCATCTATTTTGGAATTCTGCCAGGATGGCTGTCAAACTCTCAAGCCTAAAATCGCTGCATTAACAACATCTTTTTTGAAAGTCTTTTGGGATTAAATGGGTTTCGTTCTTGTCTCTTCCCATAAGAATGATGACATTTCATGTAGTTCATACCTTCAGGGGTTCTTTTCTTTCTAAGGGTAATGGCAACTCAATCATAATCATCTTACTCAAGACAACATTTGAAGTGACACTGCCTCATGCCCAACAGGAAATGTGTCTGTCACACGAAGCTTCCAAAATCACAAGGAATATGGCGAAAGGAGGAAGTGTGACGTTGCAAAAAAGAACAAGGACTTGGTATCAGGCTGAACTGGATCCAATTCTCTATTATTTGCCTGCTGTGTAACTTTGGACAAGCTGCTTAACTTTGCTGAGCCTCAGCTTCCATGAAAATCTAAAAGATGAAAATATTATTTAAGACATACCTTGCAGCATTTCTACAGGACTAACAGTAATGTGTAAAGGGGATGGCACCTTGCTGACACTCAGTAAACAGTAGTTATGTTAAGTACAGTAGATAGCTGCTTCTGAGACGTGATTTAAGCAGCAGAAGTAGAGGACTTTTAAAATATTTTCCTCTGCACTGTCTGAAATTCTTTGTTTCATTTCCCCCAATTTAAAAAGTTGTGGTAAAATATATAAAACAAAAAATTTACCATTGTAACCATTTTAAGTGTACATTCATAGTTGTACGTCCATCACCACCATCCATCTCCATAACTTTTCTCATCTTGTGAAACTGAAACTATACCCGTTAAAGAATAGCTCCCTATTCCTTCCTTTCCCCAGGCCCTGGCAATCACCATTCTACTTTCTGTCTCTACGATTTTGACTATTCTAAATACTCATATAAATGGAATCATACAGTATTTGTCTTTTTGCGAGTGGCCTATTTCATTTAGCATAATGTTCTCAAGGTTCATAGGGACATATGGTGTAGCATATGTCAAAATTTCCTTCCTTTTTAAGGCTGAAGAATATCCCTTTTTTTTTGTATATATCACAATTTGCTTATCCATTCATCTGTTGTTAGACACTTGGGTTGCTTTCACGTTTTAGCTATTGTGAATAATGCTGCTAAAAACATGGATGTACAAATAATCTCTTCGAGACCCTGCTTTCGATTCTTTTGGTTATATACCCAGCAGTGGAATTGCTGGATCATACGGTAATTCTATTTTTAGTTTTTCTTTTTTTTTAGGAAATCCACACTGTTTTCCAGTGGCTCTATCATTTTACATTCCCACCAACAGTGCACAGGGGTTCCAGTTTCTCCACACCTTCACGTTTGTTGTCTTCTGGGTTTTTGTTTTGTTTTTTGGGTTTTTTCTTTTTTTGATAGTAGTCGTCCTAATGGGTGTGAGATTCTTTGTTTCATTTTGACTACTACTTGAAATTCTATTGTTAAAGATTTTTATTCATTTGGGGTTAACAAGTATTCTCTTTTAAAAGGCAAATATACTTGAGAGCTACCTGTCTTTCTTACCTCCCCAGGTCAGTCTGATTCTCATGTGACTTCCTGGTAGTAACTGGACTCTAATTAAAACCTATACCCCTCAAATCATGCACCCAGAGCCCTGACGTTGATCGGTTTTTTTTCTCAAGTGAAGAGATCACTGCTTGGAGTGCTGTGATTTGCTAGCATTTCAGGTACGGTACGGATTGGCCCCATCACCAAATGTTAGAAATTATTGTTGAAAAAATAAGCTAGAGATGGGGTACTGCCTGTTTGTGAAGCCTGTATTACATTAAAATTATTTAATGGAGGGGAGGGTATAGCTCAAGTGATAGAGCGCATGTTTAGCATGCAGGAGCTCCTGGGTTCAATCCCCGGTACCTCTAAAAATAAAGAAATAAATAAACCTAATTACATTCCCTCCCCCCTCAAAAAAAAACCCTATATAAATAAATCACTCTTCAAAAATATTTTAAAAATTACTTAATGAACTTATATAAAAACACTTATTGAGTAATATGTTGGGTAGTGAGGCTAAGCCCTTATATTTCTTAGGATATAAGCTCCAACAGTTCAGGGTATTTTTCTGTTTAACTCACTGCTTTACTTTTTTTTTTTTTTTGGTGGCTTAGGTGCATTTTATTGGTTTTCTCACTGCTTTACTCTTAACATTTTGAACAGTGCCTAAACCATAGACAGGGCTCAGTAAGTATTTGTTGAATGAGAGGATACATTCTACAGATATAACCTATGGTTCTCCAAGTGTAGTCCACAGACTCTGGGAGTGCCTGGGATGCTTTCAGGGAGTCTGCATGGTCAAGACTATTTTCATAATAATACTAAGACATTATTTGCTCTTTTTCACTGTGTTGGTCTTTTCACTGATGGTACAAAAGTGGATAAAACTGCTGGCATCGTAGCATGAATCAAGGCAGTGTGGCACCACCTTGTACCAGATTTGTATTCTTCATTGTCACACCTATGCAGTAAAAGAATTAAGAAGCCACTTTCACTTAAGACTATCCTTGATAAAGCAGTACCAATGATTAATTTTATGAATCTCTCTCCTAGAGTATACGTGTTTTTAATGTTCTATCTGATGAAATGGAAGATGTACACAAAGCATTTCTGCTGCTTACTGAAGTACAGGGTTGTGCAATTGTTTGAGATGTGTGAGCTGAACTAGCTGCTTTTTTTCATAGAATACCATTTTTATTTGAAAGAATGACTGACAGAAAAACTGGGTATTCAGACTTGGATATTTGAATGAAATGAGCCTGCCACTTCAAGGAAAATCACTGAAGGAAAGTATTTCTGCCAATGATAAAATTTGAGCTTTCAGGCAAAAATTATAATTTTGGAAAGGGGAAATTTCACAAATCTGAAATTTGTGAAGGGGAGCAGAATGTGCCACCCCAAAATATGCTGATTTGGCATGTGGATTATTTGAGCTAAAGGTAATAACACCCAACAGACTCAGGACAAATTTTCACCTCTCCCAAACTACCTTAAAGAATTTAGTTAGGGGGCCTGTACCAAAAAGCTATTGCCAGAGATAACTTTTTTATCTGAAAGAAAAGTTATCTGTCACCATGGCTGGGCAAACTTCTAGTAACCAAACATCTGCTCTTCTCGTTCAGTGAACTGCCCTCGCAGCTTTGAAGCCCAGGCCCCTATCCCATTCTTCAGCTCAGGATGGCATGTATGTCTCAATTGCCTTATATGGGTCTCATTTTTAGGGGGCTCCCCTAAGTATAAAATTGGTTTTTCTCCTGTTAGTTTGTCTTACGTCTCAGTTTAATTAGTAGATCAGCCAAAGAACCAGAAGGGAAGAAGGGGAAGTTTTCTGCCCCTACATGAAAATGTATCCACCAGTAAGCTTGACAGCTTCACAAGACTGATGATATCAGTGATGATTTTAATATATATGATTTTAAAAATATTGAATAATAAAATGCACCCACATTTGGAAGATCTGTGTAACTCAGGAAACCAATATTTTCCAAATGGTTTCAGATTTCCCACTGCAACTAACCTTTAAGAAACTACCTAATTTGTTGAGTTTTACTAGTATCAAAGATTATCCACAACTATCTGAGAAGGATAAAAATACTCCTCCCTTTTCCACCTATGTATCTGTGTGACTACGTACCTTCTTCATTTCCTAGTCCAAAACAACAGCACAACAGAGAGAATGGGGAAGCAAATATCAGAATCCCAGCTGTTTTCTATTAAGCCAAACATGAAAGATATTTGCAAAATTGTAATATAATGCTACTCTACTTAGCAATTTTTGTTTTGGAAAGTGTATTTATATTTCATAAAATATAGTAACATGTAATGGTTTATTATTATTGTTTCAGGTGAATAAAAATTTTAAGAAATTTTAATTGTAATATCTAATCTGGTGACTGTAGCACATAAACCAAAGCTCTTTGGGTTCCTTAATCATTTGTAAGAATGTGAAGGGATCCTGAGAGCAACAAGTTTGAGAAAAGCTGCTTTGAGGTACGTGCACCTTACCTTATGAGGATCTCTACCTTACAGAAGAGGAAACAAAGATTTAAGACCAGTTTAAGGCCAACATGGTCAGTGTAGTACTGGGTAGGTATTGTACTCAGGTCATCTAACTCCAGAGCTTGCATCTGTTACCTTAACTTTTTCCTTGATATTACGTTTACTCAAATTATCTTTATGCAGGTAATTAATAGATACTTAAATAACGTTAAATAAAAAAAAAGCCTTCATCAACAGATTTTTCTTTCTTACTAACTAGCTGCACGATCCTTCCTTCGGCTTGTTTCCCAAGTGAAACTGGTGTGTGCTCGCCAGTCCCAGTTCGCTCGGACCATCTAGTTTTCGAATCTGACTTGGCATCGGCTTGATAATTCTGCTGGGGAGCTGCAACCTACGAGGCTCAAATGGGAACTCTCTCTGGACTTAGCTAGCCCCCAGTGCTCAAGATCTCATACCTCTCCCTCGCACCTCTGGGCCCTCTTCCGGACCTTTAGGGACGCCCCTGGTCGCTGATTGGCTGGACCTGACAACGATGGGCGGGACGCGGCTCTGGATTGGACGTCAGAGGCTCTAGGCACCTCCCTCCGCCTGCGTGCACCCTGCAGCGCCCCTAGTGGCGGGGAATCCGGACTCCAGCCCGGGCCCGGGCAGGCCCGAACGAGCCGCCCGGGCTCGCGCCTGCCACTGAGAACCCCGGCCTGCGGGGGCGGGGTGTCCTGGGCACCCGGGATTGGTGTGTCAGCAGCCTTCTCCCGTCGTGCACCGGGGCACCGGCCGCTCACCCGGAAGGAGAAGCCCAGGCTCTGACTACACGGTGGGGCGCTGGCGGTGTCTCCGTGGGCAGTGGGCGCTGCTCTTAGGTGAGAGGACGTGGGCGGGGCCGCGGGGAGTGGGTGCTCTCAGGTGAGGGCCGAGGGTTTAAGCCGCAGCAGCGGCGCTTGGGCTGGGACCTTGCTTGACATCCTAGGGAAGGAGCAGTCTCACCTCCCGGGATGAAGGCGGGTGCTTGCTCGGCATCCAAGGAAGGAAACTTGGCTTTCCCATTTATTTTTAAAGTATAAATCAGCTTTCCTTCCCACGACCCAAGCTTAGTCGGCAAATGAGAGTAAGGACTATGTGGCCTTTTTGCTTCTAGTTTTTTAAGAATACAGGGGGAGTGGCTGGAGTAAAAGAGTTTGGGGACATTTCTTCAAACGCTAGGACTAGGAGTAATGGCAAGTATTTTACGGGGACACAGGAGGCACTTGCGCTAGATTGTGGTCGCCTTTCTATTCTTAACTTCCATATGGAAAGAGTGGCGGGTTACAAGTAAACAAAAGGATGGAGCAGAGCTGCTTGATTGAGACAGGTAGAGCTTGGTCAGACAGGAGCTGCTTCTACCAGCTGTAGGTGTTTAGGAAGGAGAGCTTATTGAGTTGCCATCTGTAGAATGGCGAAGAATGAGTAAGAAGGGATGGGAGTCTCGGTGGCTCTATATACTTTTATCATCTCATTTGTGTTTTAATGTATCTTAAGTATTTTGAATGAGAGGGGAAATGGTGGCGCTAAAGCCTTGGATTGTTACCTTGAATTGTTAAGACTTTCTATTATTATGACATTCCTTTACAAGGAATCTACTTTGTTAACAGCAAACAACTGGGTTTTCCCTGGAGATATGCTGCTGGTACATGTGGAGAAAGAAAACTTCAGATGTGATTAAAAGGGCCCAGGAAATGTAGCTAGTGCTGAATGAGTTGCGTAAGTAGCTGAGAGGGTCACTGATTTTGTCCTTATTTGGATGACACATGGATCCATCTCCCAAATTATATAGAGAGCTAAAATTAAGAACTTCCTCCTTCCCCTCCAAGGGCAGAAAGGCGCTTCATTTCCTCCTGAGGAGAGGCATCTACAGGGAGGAAGCTGATGGAGAATAATAGTTGCTAGAAATTATTACTTGAAGTCTAGGTTTTTGTGTTTGTTCCAGTGTTTTAAAGGAAACTCTAAATGAAACTTTCTTAGAGGCCTTTAGATGTAAATTATTCAGTATTTTGGGTTTCCTAGGATTTTTTTTCAAAGCCAGTTTATAGCTATTTGTTTGTAAGTGGTATGAGCTTCAAAGGAGAGCAGAGGAACTCGCCCTCGGATGTGGTGCAGAGCCCGCGACTGATGAGCATTTAGTTACTAAATTATGGTCCTGAATTTGGCGGACCTTTCAAGGCACAGGAGATGTGAGAGCTCCACTGAGAGTGTGGATGACGATGATTCCCTTGTCATCATCTTTCCTGTCATTACTTTCATGAAAAGAGACTTTAGTGTATTTTCTGTGCTGGCAGTTTACCAAATGCCTGAAAATAGGGGAAAAAAAATCCTGTTTTAATCCAGAGAGGTTAATTTGCTCACAGTAAGTTGGCCTGCCTTGTTTTGTCACAGGCATTTGCCTGCTTACATCCAGGATGTTATACATCAGTTGTTACAGAATTGGAATTTCTTACCTTTCAGTTCAGGACCCCTCTGTGGTGGGTGACTGCATCAGATGAAAAATCAAAATGTCAGCAAGAATACTGTTTAAGATAGTATTGCAATCACAAAAATCTCCAGTTTGCTAGATGGTGTAGTCCAACTTTGTCCTGTATCACGCAGCCTCGTCTCTGCGGTGTCTGTGCAGAGAGACCTTTTGGTATATTGGGAAGGACTGGGAAAGCTGTGTACTCTTCTAATTTTGTGGTGTAAATGAGTTCCTCTTCTCTTGAACGTTAGCCTTGTGTTAGTACAACATAAAATAGAAGGAAACTCATTACACGCTCTTCTAATGGTAAGGCAGAACTAATAAGAGAATGTGTTTAAAATTAATTGTGGGACTGTAAAAATGAGTGGGTGTGTGAATGGGCACGGGGTGGGAGGAGAGGGAGCGCTTAGAGATAGTCTTGTTTTCCCAGGAGCCAGCCTGGATCGTTTGTTGGCAGTACATATTGGCTGAAGTCAGTTTTCATTTCAAGGTAAATTGGAAAGGGAAATTAAAGCTTATTGTTCTGCACTTAAGAGAGGAGAAGAGGGTGGAGGCAGCAGCAGCCAGAGTGGATGCTGCTGGTGTGGTTCTAGGAGCAACAAGATTAGTGCTGTATTTTAACAGAAGGTGACATCATGGGCCCCTTTGGACTTGAATAACCCTGTGCTGCAGCCTTCATGATCCCCTTGTCGGAGTGGGCGATGTCGCTGCACATGTAAACTGCCACACTGGGGGAAATCAGTGGCTTAGGCTTTAATGAATCTTTGCAAAGGAGCGGAAAACATCCTGAGTCGACCTGTGCAGCTGTGGGGTGCTTGGGCAGAGGTACAAACTGGGTGGCATGTCGCGAGAGAGGAAATGTTTAGACCCATTGGCTTGGGTTCCCGAGATCGGATTAGGTAAGGTCACAACTGGGCAGCCCACTCAGGTGCCCCTGAAACTCTCCAACTCTGAGGTGTACCTCCGAGGCAGTGACTGTGCTTAGCAAGACAAAGAGAGATTTAGGTGCACTGGTGTTTGTGGGGGCCTGGTTGTCTCTAAGCATCCAGGAGGGGGCGATGTGAGGCTCCGTGGCAGAGCTGTGCTGTGTGTGCCCACAGACACTGCCTGCCTGCAGTCCTCAGGAAGAAAGGTTTTACAACCCAGACTGCCTGTTCTGGCTGCCTGAGGCGACACTGTGCAGACCTGAACGTGTTTTGCCCAGAGGTGGTCTGGTTAAGGGTCCCCGCTGCTGTGGTCTGAGAAGGGAGGCAAATCCCCCAGGGCTTTCAACTTTGCACTGAGCTTAGGTGGGGGAATTTTTTGCTTCCTCTTAAGTTTTACACAAGAACAAAAAAAGGTGCCTGGCTTTCCCCAGGGGGGGGCGTGTCGATGACAGTTTCAGGGTTTTGCCCTGGCAGAGTGGTAAGAGCAGAAGCATACTAACAGTGACGGCCCTGTGTCTTCTGTCCCTCCTCAGGTGTTTCCTTCCAATGGGCTTTTGGTGTAGGATGTTGGAGAACCAAGAGCAGGAGGTAAGCATGTGGTCACCAGGAACAGGTGGGTAAAAGTTTGAGGGGATTTGGGAGATTCGAATATTGCTTGGCGGTGTTCTTCTGACAGTAACACCCAGGTGGTTTTGATGAGCTCAAAGTAAAGCCAGAAGGAAATAGTAGAAAAGGTGTTACTGGGAAATGGGGTTCCATTTTCACTAACTTTTCCATTCGTTGGAATGTACTAGAATGTAAGCTTCATAAGGGCAAGGATTTTTGTCTCTTCATGTTCTGTGCCAGGTGCCTTAGAACAGTGCCTGCCACCTAGAGGGTGGTCGGTAAATATTTGTTCAATTGAATGAATAAATGAACAAATGAATGAGAGTTGAGGCTGGGTGGAAAAGTCTGGCAACCTGTGTGTCAAAGCTGCCTTACCGTGGGGCTGAGCTGAAGCTGAAGGAGCGTTTCTTACCTCCAGGAGGTGATCACTGTGCGTGTTCAGGACCCCCGTGTGCAGAATGAGGGCTCCTGGAATTCATATGTGGATTATAAGATATTTCTTCACGTAAGTGCATCAAACTTCAGTATTGGGGTCAACGCCGTCCAGGGCTGAAGGCCAGTGCTGAGTCAACCTGTTTGTGGATGTTTTGACAGAAGAAAAGGAGGAAGGAGAGGAAAGAGAGCCTGGAGTTGCCTTCAGGCTGCTTGGAGCCCCTGGTCAGGACTGTGGCTTGGTGGCTTGGGTCCTCAGCCGGAGTGACTGTGGGGAGTTCATGTGAACTTGGACTTTTCCCACTAAACCTTTTTCGTGTGCTTCTGCCTGTAGACCAACAGCAAGGCCTTTACTGCCAAGACGTCCTGTGTGCGTCGCCGCTACCGGGAGTTCGTGTGGCTGAGAAAGCAGCTGCAGAGAAATGCTGGTTTAGTGTGAGTTTGCTCTTGCTTCCTCCTTGGCTCCGACTCTGGCTTTTTAGGTGCTTACTTGGCAACTGGAATTGATGATGAAGAAAACTTGGCATGTACTAAGGAAATTCAGAAATGTGCTCTTAAATTATATTTTCAAGTCAGTGAAAAAAGTAAAGACAGGGGTCTTCTGTCTGATATTTTGACCTAACAAAGCCAAACAAATAACAAAAATATTTTTCTTGTTTTATATCATGGGACTAAACAAATGTACTGCTAGCTTTTTAAGTGTGCCTATTACTGGTTGTCAGGAACTTTTTAGCGCCTGGACTATTTTGACAGGTGGTGTTCCTGTCCATTTGATATGTAAAAATTGTTTGTTTGTTTGTTTTTACTTTTTTGTGTGGGGACTTTTATCCAGAGATATGAGACTGAGAGCCTCAGGAAAAGCAGTGTTGTTCACTCCTCACTTACATCCAAATAGTCCTAAAACCATGGAGACAGTTTAGAACATGACTCCACCACAGCGTGGGCACTCAACGCTCTGGTGACTGTTGATGACCCGGCCAGTTAGTTAACGTGTGGGACTGAGGAGGCCACTGTCATGAGTCAGGCCCTCATAAGCCAGTAGGCACTTCCTCTGAGCAGATCCTGCACCGTCCAGTCTGGCTTGTTGTTGTTAAAGCATGCGGCATGCTTCAGCGGAGAGGCTAGGGAGGCTTAAAGATTTTGCGGATGATTTGCTGCAACTCAGCTACCTCTAGAAAATTCCAAGCATGTACCTTCTGGGATTGGAGAAGGTGGTCGTAATTTACACACAAGGACTCAACATTCTCCATGTCTCCATGTCCAAGTTTCTTCCTTTTAAAGTAATAGCTGATGGTGGGAGTGGGTTTTGTAACCAGTGTAGTTTAGCAGCATGCAGTTTTTAAGTCAGAGACTTGGCGTGGATACCAGCTCTGCTGCTTGCTATGCTGTGTGACTTTGGGAAATTTACTAAACTTGGGTTCTATTCCTTAGCACTCAGATGGGGGCACTAATATCTTTCTTGTGGGGTTTTGGGGAGGATTAAATGAAGTAAGGTTTGTAAACCAGCACAGTGCCTGACACGCAATGTGGGCCCCCTTCCGCTGCCACCTTATTAAGTGCTATTTGTATTGATTTGTGCCTCTGTTTAGGGAATTTGCTTGATCAGGGACTGGAATGACTGTCTTGGATGATACGCTTACCTTGGGTGTTACATTATGTGATCTCACAGGCCTGTACCAGAACTTCCTGGGAAGTCAACCTTCTTTGGCAGCTCAGATGAGTTCATTGAGAAGCGGCGACAAGGTCTGCAGCACTTCCTTGAAAAGTGAGTGTGCTTGGCGGCCTGGCACTTGCCTCCCGGAGAGGGGGCGGGGTGTGGGGAGGTGCCGGGCCGGGTGGCCCCTGGAACACGGAAGCACGCATGTGTTAGATGCTTTTGTTGCACCCTCATGCCTTCAGTGCTCACTCAGGCCAAAGCCCTTCAGAGGAACTGGGGAGAGCCACTGCTCAGAGTGATGCGCTGTGTTGCACTATTTGTGTTTGGCCCAGAGTCCTGCAGAGTGTGGTCCTCCTGTCAGACAGCCAGTTACACCTCTTCCTGCAAAGCCAGCTCTCGGTGCCTGAGATAGAAGCCTGTGTCCAGGGCCGAAGCCCCATGTCCGTTTCAGATGCCATTCTTCACTATGCTATGTCAAACTGTGGCTGGGCCCAGGAAGAGAGGCGGGGCTCTTCTCACCTGGCTAAAGGAGACCCGCCTAAGAGGTAACTGCAGACTCTTTTCTGAAGCACCAGGGGCTGGGGATGCTGTGATCTGGGCCCATGAGGTATCCACTGGTAGAGAAAGTCATGTCCCAGGGCTGGTAGCCTTTCAGAAGAGGCCCGTGCACATCCCATGTTCTCTCCCACGCCCAGGGTTCTGTGGGGGCTGGGGGCCCATCCCTGGGGAGCAGGCTCTCCTATTGGAACCTGGGGAGAAAGAACAGAAGGCTTTCTTATTTGGTTTGTTCTTTATCCACTACCGCTCACCCCCGTTTTCTTTAAAAAACAACTTTATTGAAATACAATTCGCATACGTAGAATTCACTCTTTTAGTGTACAGTTCAGTAGTTTTTAGTTTATTCACAAAGTTGTGCAGCCATCAGTCACCACAGTCAATTCTAGAACAATTTCATCACCCCAGAAGAAGTCGTGTACTCATCAGCAGTGACTCCCCATTTTCCCCACCCCCCAGCCCTGGCCACCACTGTCTACTTTCCATGTCTATGGATTCACCCATTCTGGACATTTCACACAGATGGAGTCCCATGATATGTGGTCTTTTGTGACTGGCTTCTCTCACTTAGCGTACCTTCATGGTGCATCCGCATTGTATGTGTGTCAGCACTTTATTCCTTTCTACGGCTGAGTAATATTCTGCCATGTGGCTAGACCTCCTTTTGATGTCCATTCACTTGTGTTTGTCCTTTCATTTTTGTTCATCTGTTCATGCCCTTTGTTTCCCTTTCCCACTCTTTTCCAGTTGCTGCTTTCTTCCAAGATCAGGCAGGAGGAGCTCTTCCTCACCGCCTCCCGGGGAAGAAAAGGACCACTTTGAGGTGTGGACTCCTGTTGTTGACTCTGAGGCGCCTTCCTTGGAGAGCCACCCGCTCCCGCCGCCCTCCTCCCCGTCATGCTGTGGTTTTGCAAGACCTGATGAGGGAATCTCTGCTCCTCAGCCTGTGAGGAGGGCCGTGGGAGGCGACCATGCTGTGCCTTTGGACCCTGGTCAGTTGGAAATAGCTTTAGAAAAGTGAGCTCTGGTCGGAGCGCTGGGTTGTGCTCTGAGGCGGACGAAGAAGATACGGGCAGGGAGACTTGCTCAAGTGGGGCCGGGCACAGGCCGGTGGTGGGGAGGCTGGGCTGCTTCGTGTCTTCCCGTTGCCTCTGCTCGGGATTGGGTGCGTGGAGGGCGGTCACAACAACTCCTCAAGCTTCCTGCATAGGAATAGACACTGTGCAGATGCTTGTAAGTTAAGCACAAGGCCCAGGGGTTGTTGGTTTTGAACTGAACTCCATATTTACTCTCCTGGAGCTGAATTTCTTTAGAGGTTTGTTAATGGGCCCAGGAGCACTGTCTCAGGTGACCGGTTTTGGGGATCTGTAGGTGGCAGGTTTTAAGCTGCCGTATTGAATATTGTTCCACCAGGAATGCTTGTGCACTGTATTCCCACTGGCTCTGTTTTTGCTGCAGCCCCTGGAGCACTTTGTTTCTGGGAGGCTGGCCCCTTGCCTACCTCCTTGCATGGACAGGGGGGTGAATATTTATTCTCCCACCTCCTTGCTTTCCCTCCACTAACACCACTGAACGGAACGGTGCTGTGAGGCCTGTCGCTGGGGTTTCCTGTGCATCCCAAGACCTCAGCCTGGCTGTGTGGGGCCTGAGACCCATGAAATAGCTCAAGGCCATCCATGAAAGACAAGGGGCCAGAGGAGAGGGAACGGCCCAGGGGGCTTTGTTTTGGAAAGGCTGCCCTGGGCTGTCACTGTCTCTCTGGTTATAAAGCAGAGACGTGACTGTCTTCTCTGCAGGGTTAGCGTGGGCTCCTTTCTTTTTCGGATCCTTTTCTTCTCCCTTAGTAACAGCTCCCTGCCCCCAGGGCTTCAGCCACCACAGTGTCCCTCTGCTGTGATGTAGGGAGGCCGTATGTTCAATCCAGTGGCGTGCAGGGGCTTTGTTTCTGCCTGGAGAGAGGGCTCTGGGGATGGAGATGAGGAACAACACGCCTGCCTTCAGACAATGAGGCATTCTGCCCTCCTGCTGCCGTAATTCTCTCCACCGAGAGCCAGAGCCGCGAGGAGGTGAGTGCCGCTGGCATTCTGCCTCGCTCTGCACTTGGGTTTGCGTGTGTGGTTCTTCTTCTCGCCCGCTCCTCCCTCTGGCCATCCCACCCTGTCCCCGGGCTCTTTTACTACCAGCCTATGCTGTGGGACTGTCATGGCATTTAGTTCAGAGTTGAGGGGCTTTGGCCTGAAATAAAATTCAAGTGTTTAAGACTGTTGTGGCAATTGGTGTCTAACAAGCTGTAGCAGTGGAGGAGGGAGTGAGGGCTTCCATAAATCATGAGTTTATCAGCGTGGAAATAATGGTTCAGAACCGTGCGTGGCAGCTCTCCTGCATTGTGTGTGCAGCTCAAGTTCACCATTGGAGGAAGAATTGCCTTCCAAAGAGCTAGGATCCAGCTCTTCTCACAGTTCTGGGCACGAACCTTGTTAGGTATAATTTACCTGATGCCGCTTCCATCCTCGCAGCCTGTCTGCGGTGCCAGGTGCTGAAAGAGAAATAAAGTTTGTCAACAGGCAGATGCAGAGTCCTGGCTGGGACGCATCTCTCTTTCCTGCCCGCCTCCCCTGGGTCTCTCCTTTATATGATGCAGCAGAGCAAGGCGAGGATAGAAAACCCACAGAGGCAAATCCAAAATGTCAAAAGAAGTTCATTTAAAAGGGGAAAAAAACTCCATACACAACCCTCACAAAAACCCGACAGATGCTAAGCTAATGGCATCCGCTCTGCCGATTGGTGGGGATGACTCATGAATATTAATAAGTCCAATGCTCCAAATGGTGCAGCTGTGAACCCAGCTGTGCCTGAAGCTCTCTGATCTCAAAACTTCCAGACAGGAGCCGGAGGTGGTCTGTGTCAATTCCCTACTCAGCCAAAAAACAGCAAGCCGGGTTGGCCTTCTTCTGTTCGCTCCTTTCTTCCTGGAGTTGGTGCTCAGCAGCTCGTTCTGCCAGCAGGGTAGGCTGCGGGGACAGCAGGAGCCATTCAAAGACACGGATGCGATTTTTCTGACTGCCGGCTTTTTTAATGATCCATTAACAACCATGCATCCAACAGCACCTCAGTTAATCTAAGGCCAGGCACCATCCCCTCACTATCTTGCGCAGAGTTGAGTGTAGGCCATGGAAGGAGATGTCCTGAGGGGAAGAGTTTTTCTAAGAACACAGGCCTGGAGTTACCAGAAAAATAAAGATGGATTTTCCTCTCCATTTAGGCAGTACCATCTGCTCACGTTTTGCTCTGTCCCTGTGTGTACTGAGGGCTGGCCACCGTGGTTGATGGCCTCTGTACGGAAGATGGGGGGTGCTAACGGGGGAGGGGTTGGTCCATGGAGCTGCTTTGTAGAAAGGAAGTATTTTTTGTTAGAATTTAGATTCAAAGTAGGTTCTGTGCCTAACTTACAGTCACCTTTCTTCTGACAGCTCCTTCCATGGCCCAAGTCTAGTCATCTGTTACCCAGGATAAGTGATTCCAAGCTCATGGGTTTTGTTTTGTTTGGTGGAAGGAGGGGGTGTGTGTGTATGTGAGTGGAGGAGGGGGTAGGTTTTCTTGTATGAAAGTAGTAAGTTTCATACGCATCGTTTTATTTGACCACAGTGCCCAATGAGGAGAGCAGGCAAGTATTAAACTCATTTTCTAGCTGAGGAAACCGGGCTGAGCATGGTTTTTAAAAGGCATGTTTTTAGATGGTGGTAGAATATACTCATGTGAGAGGTACTTTCCAAATTCTATAAAATAAGGTGTTTTTTTACCCCCCAAAAAACTTAAAAAAAAACCCCACCGCTACTTGAGGGAAAAAAAATTCCCTCTGCAAAACTTTTCAGAGTTGTTCTTAGAAATCAGAGCTCCTCCACAATCCTCACTTTTCTGACCGTTAAGGCTTTAGAGCCACACCTCCAAGTCCTAGGTACCCTGTACCCCCTCTGGTAGCTTTGCCTAGGAGATGACTTTTTAACAGTCTGATTGGACACTCAGCTCCGTGTTTGTGAATTTCTTTATATGCCTCAGCTCTTGCTGAATATTTTTAACACCTTAGGGTTTGGGAGGATGCAAGGTTGGAGGCAGGAGTGGAAACAGACCAGCTCCTGGCCTGCCTCGTAGAGGCCCCAGGAGCGTTCATTACGGGCTCGTGTGGCATCTGCGGATTTGTGTGGGAGCCGCCAGCTGAGATGCAGCTAAAGCCAAGCAGGTAGCCACTGCAGCACAGGATGGTGTGTCCTCAGTTGTACCTGGGCACTGATCATAAGCCGCCTCTCCTGGGTAGCCCTCTGCCAGCAGGTACTGAGCCCTGCAGAGGGCGCATGGCCTGGTTCAGGGTAAGCTTTCTCTGAACTGTGGATGAGCATCCCTCTTCCTGCTCTCTTTACCACTTCTTTCCTGAGAGTTTCCTCAGTCTGCGTTGGAAGCCCCCACCCACCTCCTATCTCTCATCTGCTCCCTGCCCCAGCTCTTCTAAGAAACTCTTTTCAGGAACTGCTACGAAGACCAGGTATGCATATGGCTTACCACAGGGCAGGGCAGCAGGGGCCAGTCCTAGCATCTTCTAGAGAAATAATTTATGGGGGAAACCAGTTCCAGCACAGTAATGGCTGGATTTGGAGCTTAGAAAGCTGGAACCTCAAATTTCAAGATAAATAAACATGGACCATTTCTGTTCAAAAGTATAATAAGAGCCACACATTTTAGGAGATGGTGCGCTCCTGACTCAGCAGAGTGAATGTACTTCCATTCAGGGGAGACCTGGTCCATTTCCACAAGCAAAAGAGAAAAACAAGGGGAACTGACATTGCCGTGAAAGAGGCAGGAAGGATGAACGGGGTGAATGAGATGCGAAGCTAGTGGGAGAACGAAAGGACTCCCCGAAAGTCTTCAAGGATTTTTTCTCCTTGGAAGGGCAGGAACATGGGACGCTGCTGTTATCTTTGGGTTATGGGAAGCTGCCAGCCAAGACTTATCCTCTGTGGCTGTCAGGTCCCTCCTTCCTGTCTTCAGCCAAGCACTTTTTCCTTCAAGCCATCCTTTCGAATCTAGTTACATCCCTCGTAAGTGCTCTAGCCCTGTGTGTGTCCCTTCCCCTGGTGGCCGTGTTGATGTGGGAAGCCAGGCCACTAGCAGCCTGACTGAATCCCTCCAGCAGAAGGCCCAGAGTAGTAAGAGCCCGAGGCGGTTTGCTGGAGGCGATGCAACCTGCCTGCTATGAGCTACGAGACTTAGATATATTCTACCAATTAGGGTACATCTGTTAGCAGCGCTGAAAGGCGGGCACTGTCTCTTTAAGATCCATCCCACTCCTCTCCTTGAGTGATGAGGGCTGGGATCACAGGGGAGTCAGATGCTGATTAAACAGTCCTACTGCCGCGCTCTGTTAGAAAATTACTGTAATTATGATCTAGTCCCAGCAGAGGGATGAGTTCCAATCCTGCTAATAACCCTTCCAGGTGCCTCAGACTCAGGGCCCAGGGGAGGCGGCACCGACAGCGCTCTGGCTGGCATCGGGGCCAGCGGTGGCCCTCCTGACCGGCCTCTGCAGGCAAGGACGACAAAGACACCGGACCCCTCATCCTCTCTTGGGTTTTGGTGGTTTTGCTTTATTTTTTCGATTCTTGACAGAGCTCCTAGGAGTCTTTTTGTATGAGAAAACTTTCCCCTAAGCTAACACGAAGGACCAGGAGAATCACAGCCGCGAGATGACAGTCTGTCCTGACTCCCCGCTTCTGCCCGGGATCTGCCGTCGGCGCTGCACCATCCCCAGCGCGAAGCGCAGGGACCCGGCGCGGGCCCTCGGCTGCAGCGACCTGCCGTGCCCTTTCTGTGAACCTGTTTCTTGCTCTGAAGTAGTACACAGTGTCCAACTCCGTCCTGGTCAAGACTTCCTTTTAGACTTCTGCCACAGAAACAGGGAAACAAGGATGGTAACTTCCGCGCTCCAAACAGCAGGGACCGGCTGTGACGGAGCTCTAAATCATCAAGTACCGGCTTCTCCATTCAAGCACCATTCTTACAGTGCAAACCTGCAGCCGTGCAGGCCAGTAAGTCTCAAAGTCTCCTGTGGAGCATGAGGGCTGGCTTGCTGGTTCTTAAACCCTGAGGAATTCATGGCATTTAAACTCTGTGTCTTCCCAACCTAGCCATAAACTTCCCCCATCACACAGTCCAGTGACTAAAGTTAAAACTTCTAGAAGGCAGGGCAGCTTCTCTGTGCTTGGCCCTCCGCACACCCAAATGCCCTGAAGTAGTGGTTCTCAACCAGGGGCAGTTTTGTTCCTAGGGGACCTTGGACAATGTCTAGAAACATTTTTAGTTGTCAGAATGGGAGGGGGGACTGGAGGGGCCAGTAGTACTGGCATCTACTGGATAGAGACCAGGGGTGCTGCTGAACATCCAGCGGTGCCCCCAGGAATGTAAAATTATCTGGCCCAAATGTCAGTAGTGCCAGGTTGAGAAGCCCTGTATTAATGGAGTGAAGTAAGCTCCAAGTTCTCTCCCACAAACCTCCACTGCACTGCCTTGGAGATGTGGAAGAAATGCTCTCAATTCTCCAGATGCTAGGTGTTTTCCAGAAGGAGGTAGATATTAATGACAGGCCCAGCAGAGCGCCCACCCACCGGAGGCATCCAGTAAATGTAGGCGGGGGTGCATGTGCCACCCTGGTGATTCAGGGCAGAGCAATGCCAGTGCCTGACTGTGGGCAAAAGGGAGGAGTCTGTAGCCTGTTTTCTGTTCCATGATCACGTGTCGGGGATAAAAGGTGGCCAGCTGCTCACCATCAGGTTAAGAGTGTCTACAGTGGAACCAGATGCCCTCTTTGAGGACAAGCACTAGAAGAGAAGCCTCTTGGAACTCACTCCCATCCCTGGAGGCAAGGACTTGGGATACTGTTGCCCAGAGCCACAAAAATGCTTCCCTCCGTGGCACACTGCCAAGTGGCGAGGTGGTGGGCTGTGATGGGTCCCATGAGGGAAATGAACACACACAGCTGCTGACAGCCGGTCAGCCCCACAGGCAGCTCTACACCAGAGATACCAGGCCTCTCAGAACAGCCTGGGAATCAGGGAAAGAAAGCCTAGTTGGCAGAGTTTGCCTAGGAGCTGGGTCTGCTGGGGAGAGGACTTCATTAGAAGGGAGGTTGCCAAGCGTTGTACTAGGAGAGCCAGGTCATCTCTGTCTACCGTGCCCTCCTCTGCTGACTTGGCAACCCATTCTGCCATAGTTTCTAAGTGACCACTCATCTCAGTTTATACCTGAGGTCATGGCATCCTTATTAATAACGTCCCCTTTCAGTCTCAAAAATGTCTCTGTTTGGAAAATTATATAGTTGCTCTATTAACTGTACTTTAGTTTCCTCTAACACTATAGGGTTTTTTGTTTTTTTGGGGGGGGAGGCATTATATTTATAAAAGGTTTTGGTACAAAATGGGCTGCATCTTAAAATATATCATTATTTGAATCTCAAAAGCACTGCAAAAGGGTGGTCATCAATTCATTCTAACTGAAAAAAAAACAAACCCTCAAAAAACAAAAGCACGTTTTCTGAACAGTTAGTTTTGGATAAGAAAATAGGGAGAATAATTCAAATCCCTTGAAGAAGAAAAATCTGTTTTAGTTGTAAGTGTCAAACTCCCTACCCAATCTCTGTAAATTCTAACGGGGAATGAAATAGCTGGACAGGAGGGAGGGGCAGGCAAAGGACTATGGTAATCCACAAACTAGAAAATTAGTTTGAGTCACTGGGCTGTGTAGCAGGGATCATCCTCTGTGTAGACAGCTGCTTTCTCTAAAGTCAGCGCCACAGATTTTTGCTGATGGCTCTGGGGATTAGCAAATCAGTGCCACTCAAGATTTATCCTTCCAGACTTGCTCCTGGTGGGGAGACCCTCAGGGAAAGCTTCCTTTTGGGCAAAGATTAAAGCACCTCTGTCCCTGGCATCTAAGAGTTTTATTCTTAAAATGAGAGAAAAAAGTTCAAAAAAGAAATAAAAATTTAAAAAAAGAGAAAGAAGAACAGTGGTTTCTGTCTTTTTTCTTTCTTGCTTCTCTTTAACTCCTTTCTTAGACTGGTTTTTAAAGGCAGGACTGTGTCCCGCGCCACTCCCCCCCCCTCCCCCCGCCCCCGCGTATTCTCTCGCTCTTTGCATTGACACCGCTGCTTTATTGTGATGTAAGCGGCTGGTGTGAAATGTGGATTTTGGAAATGTGTCACTGGAGGTGTCTCACCACAATAGAACGCAAGGGATTCAATAAGCAGAGCAGCAGACTGAGATTTTCAAGAGTCCCTCGTTTCATTTCCTCTTTGACAGCAGATTTTGTGTGATTTTTCTTCAAGTCACCACCTTTCAGATCCTCAGTTTTGCCACTTGCAAAGACTAACTGATTACAAATAAGGTGATGCAATCAAGCTAAAGTGCTAAAAAAAATTAATGATAACTTGAAATTTAGGCTGTTCCTTACATATTACATTTAGGTAAAGTATCTGTTTCTAACAAGAGGGAGGACATCTAGTTGGCACCACCCTTTGGCACTGCTCTCACTTTAAATGGAATCAAACTGTCTGGGTTTAGGGAATGCAACAATGGGAATTCTCTTCTCTTTCCCATTTTTATTCACCAGAGGGAAAGATGTATTTGGATTTGAATTAAGTACAGATTTCTAAGAGAGATAACAGACCATCGTATGGGAAAATTTAATACTGAGATAGTTGCAAAACAATGTGCTATTTTACTATATGGATGACAGAAGAAACACACTGGAAATGTATTTTTAATGAAACGTAGCTGAAGACTGCTTTCAGAGCATTTGGTATTCTCCGATATCAGCCTGGACGATGCAGGCCAAACTGTATCAGCCTCAGGTCAGATTATCCAATGGATGCCAGTAAGCCCTGTGTAAATTATTATTTATCTGTAAAAGGCAGCTACACCTTTGCTTCTTAAATATAGGATCTTCGCTTTCTTGCTTTCTTATTTTCTCTCCTTTACATAAAATCAAAGAATGGAAAAAGCCTTCCACTCTTACCCTCTCCTGTTTCACGTGCCAGAGCAATTAGTGGCTGTTAAGAAGCCATCGTACGTATAATGTGGTTAGTTAAGTGGTCTAATGCCCCAGTTATCCAGTTAGTCACAGGCAGTAAGGTGGGGATTTGGTTAGTGGAGTCAAACAGAGAAGCAGTAATCTCATTAGCCAGTTGCTTTCTGAGGCTGTTGACTGAGATGGTGGCTGTGGAATTGAGTAGGGGAGTGGTTCTGCTAGGTGACGGTTAGCTTCAGGCAGACTGTAGGAATCTGCTGCTTCTAAAAGGTCTCCTTCAGAACTTTCCCCTGACAAAGAACACCCTTTGTCTGTAGATAGTCTCATTAACCCTTTGAACTGGCTGTGTCTTTTCCAGCATGTATGTAACAATGTCTGAGATAGCCAGATGGCTATGGACTAGATTCCCAATTAGTCCATTTGTTTGTATCTTTCAGGGCCAATCCACTTTATTTTTTCTCTAAGGTTTACAGCTAGAAGGGCCCTAAGTCTGAGTTTGGTGCAATGGATGGAGATGCCAAAAGACCTTTGCAGTTTGGCAAATGGCTGTTTCCTTAGGTCCACGGATAGAGAAGGAACTACTGCACTAAGGGGGTTTTGTTTTAAATACTGGAAGCCAGTGGCCATGCCACTGAGAGAGTGTTGCACTGGGTAGAGAGTGGAGAAGTACCTTGACCTTGCTCCGCTCCCCCACCTCCCCCGCCCCAGATAACCTGCTCTTCCTCTTCCGGTTTCCCCTTTTCTGGTGTCTCTGTCATAGAAAAGTGGCACAAAGGTGTTTGTTCTCTCCTCTTAGCCACCAAGACTTCCAGACTTGGGTCCCTGAGGGTTCTCCAGGGAGGGGGCAATCTGGGGCACGGAGGTGCTTCTGTTTGCTCCCTCTGTTAATCACTTTAGAACAATGCCCATTGTCTTTACCAGTAGGTTGGGATTGGTGCAAAGCTTCCTAAAACGGAAGGCAATTGGTTCCCTTTGGCTCATCTGCTCATCTGCTGCCACCTAGTGGTCACTTTTCCTTTGGCACCCTGTGTAAAGTGGAGGGGACATTATGGACAGTTCTGTACTGCCTTTTATCTCACTTTTCTTTCCCTCCCAGACTTAAATTGTCCCCTTTTCTTACTTCTTTCTCCATCACATATACAAAACACTTCCTTTTGTTTTACTCCTGGGTCAGAAAAAACTGGAAATGGATAGCTAGCGTAGGATATTTTGAGAAACTTGGAATCCACTGACAACATCCTTTTTTGCTCCCAGTTTCTTTCTTTGGTGATGTGAAATGATATCTTACTGCAGGGCTATAATATAGTTGTTACAGAAGTGAGGCAGGCTCCCACCAATCCAGGACTTCTCCAAATAGGCAACTTTGGAGATAAAATTTCTATAGCTGCTAAGTTGTCCATCTCTCAAAACTTCTCTTGTAGCGAGTCAAGCATTAGTCTCCTAATGACCCAGTGAGATGGAGTACACCCCTTCTAAAAATGATGAAGTTGTGGCATAAAAGGTCAAGTAACTTGCTCTAGAGAATATATGTAGTAAATGGGGAACTGGGATTTATTCCTAGGCTATCTGGTTCCAGAGTTCATGTTCTTTTTTTGTGTGTGGGGGAGGTAATTAGGTTTATTTATTTATTGTTTGTTTAACAGAGGTACTGGGGATTGAACTTAGGGCCTCATGCATGCTAAGCATGTGCTCTACCACTAAAGTTATATCCTCTCCCCTCAGAGTTTACGTTCTTAACTATTATATTTTGCTGCCTCTTCAAGGCACAGATAACCCATAGGTCATGAGTTAGGTATGGGCAACAGGAAAAGGAGACCCGGCTGAATAGACGCAAGCCCTTCTCAAAGCACTTCTTGGCCTACAGGACACAGTGGGGTTGTTAACTCAGGCCCCAAAAGGAACTCTCCAATGTGCTGACTCCAAGGATTTGCTTCTAGTCTTGTCTCATTTCATACAGAGTCAGCCGCACACACACACACACACACAACCAAGTCAGCACACACACACACACACAACCAAGTCAGCACACACACACACACACACACACACACAACAACGTCAGCGCGCGCACACACACACACACACACACACACACACACACACAAAACCAAGTAGGCAATGAAAGGAAGTCTGAGAAGCCAACCAGAGGCTGGGCAAGCCTGGGGTGTGGAGATGGTTCAGCCCCTAAAGACAACTGCACGTCCTCCTGTTTGTCTGGGCTTTTGTTTTATCTCGGGCTACCCACCTGACGCTTTGCGGGTGATGAGAATGCCCAGAGCCAGCATTCTGATACCATTACAATAAGAAACACAACACCATCGCACATGGCAAGCAGCCAAATCTGAGGTTTATTCCTGCTTTTCAAGCCAGGCAAAGCAACCAGCAACTTATTCCTCCAAAGGTTTCCTTCTCTCACCTTCTCTGTGACAAGCCTGTGGAGAAGGCAGAAGTAGATGTGTGGACATGTTTAGAGATGGGCTCAGCTCTGAGGAGGCAGGTTTAGTAACAGGTCTGCTGAACGTGCCTCTTCTCGCTTGTCTTATTGGTGGTTTACTGTTCCTGCACGTGTCGGAGGCTTCAGTCTCTTCCCTACAGAGAAGAGTCCGCGGTGTCGGTGGGCTGGCGGGGGAGGGAGTGGGAGCTCTGGATGAACAGTTTCTTCATAAAGGCAGGGTGGAATGAAGGATATATGTCCTAAAGAAGGAAAAATACATACATTTGCTTTTATGATTTGAAATATAGACAGCATAAAAGGGCAGAGAGTAAAAGGTGTCTCCCTCCTACCCTGTCTCACAGTCGTGCCGTTTCTCCATCCTTGGAGACAACCAGGAGACAGTCGTCTTCTTTCACCTTCCAGTGGTATCTCATACATAGGGAAGCAATTGAAGACTCCCTTTTTAAACTAATGGAGCAAATCAGGCCTTCCTTTCTTCTCTGTTTCTCCCCTTACCAACATATCTGAGGATGTATTCCATATGTGCAGAGAGTGTCTCTTTCTTTCTTTCTTTCTTTCTTTCTTTCTTTCTTTCTTTCTTTCTTTCTTTCTTTCTTTCTTTCTTTCTTTCTTTCTTTCTTCTTCTTCTTCTTCTTCTTCTTCTCTTCTTCTTCTTTCTTTCTTTTTTTTTTTTTTTATTTTTACGTTACTACTACGTTACCTTACGTTACTACGTAAGTGTTACGTTCGTTACTTACGTAACGTTAGGTTACT